CTAGTAATTCTTCCTATTGGTGTAGTCACATAAGTATTCACAAGGGAAAGCAAGAATGCACAATTCAGAAGTGCAGTGCTGCTGCTTGTGAAGAAAAAATATTTGGCAAAAACTTTTTGTCCAGCTACAGTTTGATCTTTGGTTTGGTGAAAAGCCTTCTACATTATTGCTTAATCAGTGAGGATAGTAAGTTTTCACTTTTAAAACACACACAGTGTTGTGTTCTTGCCCTTAATTTCTCTATGAAGGCTGCAGTTGTGTGCACATTTCTTGTAGCACTTGCACAGCTTCAGAAGTGTATTGCAAGAGTGCATGTTGTCTGGCCTCCTGTTGCTCTTGTTAGCTTACAGATAATGAAATACACAGAGCATGTTGTTTACATGTACCATTATGCTTACAGCCTGTGCAATTAGTTCTGCTTTGGCTGGTCTTGAAGCTGCATGGTGAAAATCATGTTGTCAAACATGTAGATGAACATTTGTGCTGTGGATACAGGTGTGGGCCTTCACTGAAGGAGGGAATGTGTTCTGCTGTCTGATGTGCATGAGGCTTTTGTTCCAGCTGCAGGTGGAGTGGGATCACTGGGGTGGTAAATGAAAGAATTGAAGTTTTTGCAGTATCAGAGTGGAGGAAACCTGTATGTTAACAGAAACAGCTTGAGCTTATGGAATCTGTTGATATCTTCCTGACTTTGCAGACCTTGTTCTGTGGCATGACCTCTACTGGAAGCCAAAATGATGCATTCAGGAGAGGAAGGAAATCAGGGCAAGTTTGACGTAGTTGAAAAGAAAACTCCTTTCTCTTCTGTTTTGTGAATTGTATTCATCCTCTTTGAATGGTTTTGGAGTTTCTAGATCGTGCTTCTAAAAGGACTCCTAAAGGCATGCAAACCTTTACTTCAGTGAAATGCTTCACTTCTCTTTCATCTGTGTTCAGAGCAAGCAAGCTTCTGAGTTTCCATGAAGTTTTCCTATGTAATGTAAAACAAAGGCTTGTTGCCCTTCAGCTGGCAGTGTTTGACTTTTTTTTCCCTGTAAGTGCCACCTTCTGATAATTTTTCCATTGAAGGAGAAATGTATTTGATGTATGTTTATGGATCAAGCAAGTATAATTAAAGACTTTTCAAAAAATAAAATAAATCTTTAATCTGCTTTTGAGGTGACCTTCCCTGTGGTTTAACGTGTGATTAAATTTAGGTGCATCCACCTCTGAGCCACTTGTTTGGTGTGTCGGGATGGTTTCTGGTTTTTCAGGAGTACCTGTCTGCACGAGAATAGCCTGCCTTGTTCTATTGCTTCATGAGGATGATCCCTTCCTTACAAGAGGTCAGGTCTCTCACGTTTCAAGAATCGTACTGAATCTGGGTTAATCTGCTGCTTGTAGGGCCTGTTGTTTGGAATGCTTAATGGAACAAACAACTGTCAGTCTTGTAGTTAGAATTCTATAAGGTAAATGTGGAGATTGATGACCCAGCATTGGAAACATGAGACATGACAGAACAATGGGTTTGCTCTAAGTCGGGTGAAGCCCTGCCCTCACGGAGCTGAACTCGTGCTCTGTTCTGGTTGCATCGTTCTGCAAATCAGCAGAGCATGGCAGCATGCCTTCTCTATTTGATCAGCATGCATGCGCAAGTATTGTAATACATAAATGCCAGGTAATGTGTGTTAGTCTACTGCTGTCTTTGTTGTACACTTAGTGTACCTTTCTTGATCCTTTGACTCATTTCTTGTTTGTTGAGTTCTTGCACGTCCATGGAAGCTATGTAAGCTTTTGGGGCGTTGATTTTTGCTTGTGTCCTATTTTTACATCTGTTTATACAACGTAATTAAAATGTCCTGATTGCTGCTATAACTTTTCACAGCCAAACTTGAAGTAGTTAAGTGGGGGGGTTCAGTTTCTTTGTTCCTCTGGCTTTGAAAAATATTTGTTCCCATTTTGAGTTTTCTATTCTGCAATATTAGTTGTTTTTTTTTTTTTTTTTTTTTTTAAGTTTGCTAATTCTTGATAGCATTCTTCTGCTTAGAAAATTTTCAGTTTATAAAATCACACACATGCACTTGGTTATGAGGCTTCTTTGACAAAATCAGTGGTGTGCCTGTGCTTATGTATAGAGTGAGGGGAAAATGTGGAGGAAAATAACTAGGTGACTGTGGAGTCATTAGTTAAAAAGCAAAATAGATTTGGAAATGATTAATTATACTAAATATGACATGGGGGGGAAGGGGGGAAGTCAGTCATAGAATCATAGAATCAACAAGGTTGGAAAAGACCTAAAAGATCACCCAGTCCAACCGTTCACCTATTCCCAATAGCTCCTACTAAACCATGTCCCTCAACACAACATCCAGTCTTTCCTTGAACACCCCCAGGGTCGGTGACTCCACCACCTCCCTTGGCAGTCCATTCCAGTGCCTGACCACCCTTTCCTGGCAGAAGAAGTTTGAACACAAAAATGCTATTTTAATTCCTTCATGCAAGTATAAGCAAATATTGAAACAGCTTTGTTCTCTTGCTTTCTATTGATACTTTCTATCCTCTTGTTGTGTTTCAGGGTAAAGAGGTGTTCAGGATTCTTCACTAGGATCTGGTGTGTGGCTGCTGCTGGTGTTTGTCCCGTATGTGGCTGTCGGGAGAGCGATTCCCCGGAGTGCTGTGTGCCTGCTGGCAGCCTGCTCTTGTTTGTGACCAGTTCTGCTTCCTTCAGCTTCTGCTCTGGACAATAGCTGTGGTCCTTGCAGAGCGGTGTTTATGCCAGAAGTGATGATATTCTGGTTGTGGGCCAAGAGGAATATGCTGACTAGCAGCACTGGTAATTTTTAAAAACAGCTTGTTAAAAACAACTGATGTTTTTGTTTTTTGTAAAACGTCTTCTGGTTTGTTGTACAGCCATATAGGGGACAAATGCCAGCAGTAACTGCATTACTCTAATTCATGTAGAAGAAGAACCTCAAAGTTTATGCAAGTTTATTTTATTCACTAATGTTTCTTCTCTTCTTTTATCCTTGCGGTGAATATTTGTGGAGTACATTATAAGTTGAACTGCTGCTTGCATCTCAAAGATGGTTTTGCTTAGGTTTCTCAGTATCGCCCTTTTTCCAAAACATTCTTTGGGGGGGAAGGTGGGGGGTGGAAAGAGAGAAAGGAGTACTTGTGGCAGTGGCATGAGAAACAAGACAGAAGATTGCACATAATAACATAATTATATATATATATATAAAATGCTCACAGCATCGTATTATCTTAAAAGTACACTTTTACTGGTAAACATGTGTGCTGTTTTGTACTTGTGAAGCAGTGAGTCATCCTCTGGCTGCTGATACTGAAGATCAGTGGTGGTGGATCCATTTGGAATCAATAGGTATCTCTAAACTTGGCTTGGATGAGCAGATAGAGATGTGCTTATTCTCAAAACAAGCAACTTCTGGACAGTTCTGCTTTTTCTGTTTATACAAAAGGAGCAAGGAAGACGGAAGTGTTAGACGTTATTGCAGTTCAAAAGAATTCCTTTAGAAAGCTGATATGTTTGTTTGTTGTAGTTGACCAAAAGGGAGGCCAGTTTCGTGGAGGGTGCAGAAGTCTCTTTAAGACTTTAGATCGACTTAAATTCAATATTAAAAAAAAAAATCTGTATTGGAAACATAGACTTGATACTGTCAAGGTGCAGGTAGGATTTGAGACGAAGTTAAGAAACAGTGGAAGAACTGACAGCAAACAAGCTCTGTTACTGATTATGACCACAGGTAAGTGTACCCAAAGTTGGGTTTTGTTTGGATAGCTGGTTGTGTTACACATGGATTGAATGAGATGGCAGGATGCATCTGAAAGAAAGGTGTGAATGTTTCAGGCTTTGCTGTGATGTAGGGAGGATGCTGGAACTTGTAAGTCCCAGACCCTCTGAGAGAAGTGCCTCCAGGGTGAGCCAGGTGGTGGTGAAAGTACAGCTGTCAGAAGTGTGCTCCCAGTGAAGCTGTGGTAAGCAAGGGAGAGATTGGCTCTGGGTTAAAGAAAACTATTTGAACTATACTTTTAATGCAGTGTCAGTTTGCTAATTCTATTTAAAGGTTTCAAGTTATCTATTAATTCATGTATTTTTAATGTGTTTTCACCTTTCCTGTATTGTCTTGTTTTCATATTTGATTTGGTATATATCTTTGTTTTTGGAGGTTAGTGATGATCTTGTTGAGAAAACCTTAACTTCTGCAATGTCCCTGCAAGGCTGTAAATGTATACTTCTGTAAATGGCTAGAGGCACTGATTTCTTGGTAGCTAGTAGTGTGCAAGCATTTGCATAATGTGTAAGGTGAGAACGGGAGAGACTTTAAACATCATGATTATAGTTTGCTTTTGTGCATATAGCAATTAGCAGCTTTGGATGATGCATCACTATAAAAGCAAAGCATGTGACTAGGTAGAGATGATTTGGTACTGCTGCAGCTGACTTGTTGGTTGTTCACATGACAAGAGGTGACTCCTATGTTCAGCTTTGATCCATCTCCACCTGTGCTTCCCTACTCTTAATTCCTGCCATTCTTCCCAGGTGTAAACAAAAACACTTGCCAAGTGGAACAGTAGGAGGAAGGTTTTCAGTGGCTGTGTGGCATTTTAATGCACATTCAGACACTATATAAGCAGCAGGATGGATGTGTAGTGCTGTGTTTTATATTACGAAAATTGAAACTCAGTAGTGTAACAGAATCACAGAAACACCAAGGCTGGAAAAGACCTACAAGATCATCCAGTCCATCCATCCATTTATCACCCATAGATCTCACTACACCATGTCCCTCAACACAACATCCAAATATTTCTTGAACACCTCCAGGGTCGGTGACTCCACCCCTCCCTGGGCAGCCCATTCCACTGCCTGACCACTCTTTCAGAAAAGTATTATTTCCTAACATCCAGCCTAAATCTCTCCTGGCACAGCTTGAAGCCATTCCCTCTGGTCCTATCACACGAGAGAAGAGGCCAATCCCCAGCTCACTACAGCCTCCCTTCAGGTAGTTATAGAGAGCAGTGAGGTCTCCCCGGAGCCTCCTCTTCTCCAGGCTGAACAATCCCAGCTCCTTCAGCCGCTCCTCATAAGGCCTGTGTTCCAGACCCCTCACCAGCTTTGCCCTTCTTTGAACTCGCTCCAGGGCCTCAGTGTCTTTCTTGCAGTGAGGGGCCCAAAATTGAACACAGTACTCGAGGTGCAGCCTCACCAGAGCTGAGTACACAGGGACAATCACTTCCCTGTTCATGCTGGCAGCAACGTTCCTGATGTTTTCAGCCAAGCATCAATCAATACCCCCAGGTCCATTTCCTCTACACGGTCTTCCAGCCACTCTGCCCCAAGCCTGCAGCATTGCCTGGGGTTGTTGTGGCCAAAGTGCAGGACCCGGCATTTGGTCTTGTTGATCCTCATCCCATTGGCACCAGCCCAGCTCTCCAGCCTGTCCGGATCCCTCTGTAGGGCCTCACTACCCCCAGGCAGATCGACAGTTCCAGCCAACTTGGTGTCATCTGCAAACTGACTGAGGTTGCACTCAGTGCTGTCATCCAGGTCATCGATAAAGATAATGAAGAGTATTGAATTAACGCTACTACTTTAGGTAACAGTTGGTCAAGCAAAACCGCCATCAGTTCAGTTTTCAACTCTTAAGCATGTTCTTAAATGTGTTTTGCAGGGTGGTGTTGCATGGTGTATTCTGCCTTCTCTTTCTTTCTGTGCTGTTTTTTCTATTTAGGGAAAAGGATATGTTGTCATGTAACAGGAGGAAGTGGAGGTACTCTCTGTTATGTCCATAGCCTTTTTCTTGTGTGTGCTTCACCTAGAAGTGCTGATGGATGAGTAATAACAGTGGCTTTTCTATCTGACATAGTTGCTGCTTTGAAGTTATTTTCTTCCTTTTTGTTCCATATTTCCTTTTTCATTTCACTTGAGCACAGTACAACACTGTCTTCTCTGTTTTGTTTCTCCAGGTTTACTTTGCCTGCTTTAAGTACTGGTATGCAGTTAAGTGAGAAGGAGTGATTGTTTGTCCATTTGGATGCTTTTCTAGTGAGAAAGTTACATATGTGTTAAATCAAGAAAATGTACTAAAGACTTTAAATTAGAGTTTTGTGGTGGTTCCTTACTGTTAAAGCACTGTGTTCTGTAAGATACCCAGTTTTTTCATAGCAGAAGAGCATCACTGGCTAGAGTTGGAGTAGTTAACAAAAGAGTATGATGGTTTTCAGTCCACGGCGTGAACTTTAGCTCCAAAGTTTTAGAGGTCATCAGCATGGACAAATTGATGTCAGCTGATCTTTATAAATATTGGGATATGTACAAGGTAACTTGAGCTAGTTCAGACTTTTGTTACTTGTGTTTAATATTAGATTGCAGTGCCAGCCCCTCAGATGCATGTAGCAACAAGCTGAAAAGCATGCAGTTCATCTCCAGCTTCATCCTCACAGGAACTGAGCTGTCTGGTACAGATCCAGAAGTATGATTTTCTGTGGAAGAGCTGGATATAAGACAACAAAGTGCAGTGTATCTCCAGAAGTGGTTTCTCTTGGTGTGTCCAGTGTCTAACAGAGCACTTTGTTTCCTAAATGAATGTGAAAGACCTCCAGGAAAGGATGGGTTTGTTTGCTTGTTGAGCCAGATGGTTTTTTTTTTTTTTCTTCTATGCAGAGAAACACAAATGAATTACTTACTCCCAGTTAAAAGGAAGACCCTAAACGTAGCACCACATCCATGTGTTTTGTTTTCAGTTGCTTGGTGGTGTTTAGAAGAAAAAGAAAGCAAACAACACAAATTATTTTGCGTAACTGTTGGGCTCTGACAATAAAAATTCTTATATTCTTGTTGGTTTCCTTTGCATTTGGGTACACCTGGTCAATCAAAGATTGTGTGCTTCCTTTATAATGTGAGAACATGCCATGGTTAGCTTTGACATAGCTTCCTAGGAGCAGCCTAACTACAGCAGCACGATGACTGCTTTCTGCTTCTGTAAAATTAAAATAAATTTAAGGAACTGAAAAATCTTAAAGTCATAAGGTTGTTAATTAATGCTATCGGTGTCAGGAATCCTCATTAATCACAGCGGTGTACATTCTGTCTTCACTTTCCCTTTGCATCTGGACGAGCTTAATTTGAGCTCCAGTGACAAAACTTTGCAGAAGATTTTAGGTTATGAGCAATACAACTTGTCCCAGATTCACTGCATTTGCAGCATCCTCACCTTTTGTCAGATCTTCTTGCAGAGATGAATGATGGCATAGAACGCTGTTTCTTGATGGAAAACATGGCTTGCAGCATGACTTGGATTTAATAGCATGTTGTGGTGTTAGCTTATGTATATTACTGTCATATATAATACTTTTCTGAAGGAAAGCTTTTTTTTTTTAAAGAATATGGATTCTTCCTTCACTAAAGATACCAATGTACTTTTGTGCATGGTGTGCTTTTTAGAATGGTGTTCTATTTCAGTATGACTACCTGGATGCTTCTTAAGAGCTGTGATTAGAAATAAAAGTTATTTGTGGAGTTGCCCTATTTTAAGCTTTTTTTTTGAAGGGGGGAAAGAAAGAGTTGCTAAGAATTATTTTTCAAAGATGCATGACTGTTAGATTGTTTCCTTTGCATATGGTAAGGGTTATATCCAGAGAATACATATAAATATGCTTCTTAAACTGAGTACGTACGCCTTTGTAGTGGAGCTTTGAAGTGAATAAGGAGCTTGTAGTGTCTGTGACAACAGATGTCACACTGGGAAAAATGTGCTATTCACTTTCCTCAGGTCTCAGCAGGAAGAGCATTCATGCTCAGCTTTGACCACGAAGAGAACTCTTGCTGTTGGGATGCACTCGTTTCTTTAGGAGATCTGGTAAACACGCTGCGTCAGTGGAACACAGCGCACAAAGGACCTGGCTACCCTGAAACAGAGGCAGTAGAGATTAAGGTGTGGTTTCTAAAAGGGATAAAAAAAAGAGGTGGTGATGCCCTTGAGCCCTGAAAACAAGTTTCTATCCTGTGCTGAGAGCTGCTCAGCAGATGGGGAGAACAGCAGGGATGAATTTGGTGATTGGAGGATAACTCAATTGCTAACATGGTTTTTGGTGAACAGATTGAAGTATTTTGAGTGCAGAAGGGATGGCGTAGTGCTGCTGGCAGCCATGAGCCTACCTGGAGCACTGCATGCCAGCTCTCTCATTTGTAATTAAGAAACATGGACGGAAACTAGAACAAGTATGAGCAAGTACTTTTTTTTTTTTTTTTTTTTTTTTTTTTTTTTTTTTTTTTTTTTTTTTTAATGCTGTCCAAAAATACCTTGAAACAAAGAGCAGTGTGAGGAGTAAGAGCCCAGGATTGCAGCATGACAGGACAGTGGAGTCTATTCTTTGGCTTTCATGGACAAACACATTCCTTTTTCTCATCCTAAAGGAGTTCTACTCTAAAAATAGTTAGGATGCTGGCTTTTGCTGCTCCCTTTGGAAAGCTGGTTGTAAACAGCTCCGTGGGTTCCACAGGTTATAAATTGAGACTGGAGACACATTTCTGAGTTTCCTTGACTTCTTTTGAACAGTACATAGCTTTAACTTGTGAACACCCTTACTTGTTAAGAACCTGAAGCTTCTACTGATGAGAATTTGCTGCTTTCTTTTCTTTATTTTAAAAATTTGATGTATTTTCAATAATAAACACCTCACCAAATGTTTACAATGGCAACATTTTTTCTTCATTCTGACAGAAGTAGAAGGGTAATTACACCAAGATATATAGTTACACATTACTGCTGAGTTGTTAAGTAGCTGTCATCTAAGACCACAAATGCAGTGTTTGACAGTTCATGTTACTGGGCAGCTTTCTCCTGCTGTGCCCTGCAAATAGGTCGGTTATCTCACGGCTGTCTTCTAAGTACAGACCCACATTTTCACTGTAACTTTGCAATCACAGCTAGAGTAAAGGGCATCTATTTTATTTGAGATTGCAGTCATAGTTGTGTGGTGATTTTTTTTTTTTTTTTTAATAAAAGAGGGCTTAACAGTATTCTAGACAGAAACGAAGTTATTTGGGTCTTGTGGATTCTTTTCAGAATAATTCTACTTGACCCCGTGTATGTCATACCTAATTTTCCAAGGTGGATGCCTAAAATTAGATGCCTCTGTCTGCAGGCTTGGTCTAGTTTCAAAGGAACTGGAAACTTAGAGAAGGACTCTTTTCAGCCCTGGCACTGCGTCATCTCTTACTGACAGGATGGGCTGTGTTGAAGTGCTCTGAAAACCCAAGGTGCTTCTCAAGGTTTTTGCCCTTTCCAATTCAGAAGTATACCAGCATGTTATTACTTTTTTTATTAAACCACTTTCCGTTATTGAAGTTGCTGTCTTTGAAGCAGTCTCTGGGAAGCTGGGGCAGTGAGCTCTATTTGGATGAAATAGTTGAATTCAAAGACATAGTTATGAAATCTGATTTTTAGCATCAGTATTTTGGACGTCACCACTGTGTGTTATCAGTTCAAAATGAGCTCAGTTGTCACTTCAGACCTATGGCATGGTACTATTGCTGGGGAGAGCATGTAGGGAAACTACAGCCGTGCTCGGACTCTTGGCTGTGCTTTGATTCTTATCTGTCTGGCTGCTTGAGGGAAATTACACCACAAGTTTACTTTTATTTGTATTTTTTAATAAGTCCTTCTTTCCTCATAGGGAGTTGGAACTTGATGATATTCAAGGTCCTTTCCAAGCCAAGCTGTGCTATGATTATAGGCAACGGATCTTTAAAGAACCAATTAAAGAAGTAGTTTAGGTGCTGCCTCGTGAAGCAATTTTGCAATTTCAGATCAAAGTGAAGATTAAAACTCAGTTTGGAGCAAAACGTATCTGTGTTCTAATGTCATGATTTGCAGATAGAGGCAGAACTGACTGAGAAGCCTATGCAGGCAATAGGGTGAACTCTCTGTATTCATAAAACCTCTTAAAACAATTTGGGCTTATTCAGTTAACTGCTGTGTTCTGAGACCTTGGTGACTGCTGGTATTGTGCACCAGCAAAACGAGATAGAGAAATAGTCTTAATCATTAGGGCTACTTCAAGTAATTTCTCAGCCTTTGTGCATAGCTACTGTGTTTGCAAGCTAATAAAAATGAACTACACTGCTGGTATACACCACCTTACTGTTATTGTTCAAGTACTAAAGAAGATTAAGGGTCACATCATCACAGGGAGACATGCTTTACTGTCTTCTGACTGACTCATGTTTTTAATAGGCATCAGTGAACTAGATTAAGGAAGCAATGCTGAGCCGTTGAAGTCTCCTTCAAGAGACTTGATTCTTTTAGTTACCCCCTAAGACATGGAGGATTAAAATTGTCTTATCATTCAATTCCTTCCCTCTCAAATTTCTGAAGTATTTGTAGCTGTTTTGGCCTTGTCTAATTGTATTGAAGTTCTGGTGCCAAATCTTAGAGACTTAAAGTCACCCCAGGCTGCAGGTATGTCTGACCTAAATGAGCTGTCTGACTTGTGAGGAGAGGAGCTCTGCCCTTGGCTTCAGTGACTGTAGAGGAGACTGTGTTTGACTGGCTCACACATGGATGTCCACTGTGGCAGTCTTACTGGTGTATATTGTTGCCTAGAATTGGCTGGGCTCAAGATGCGATGGAAACAGCAAACAGCTGCTTTTTTCTTTATGTATGTTGATAGCTTATTCTGTTACAGATCTTCAAAAGCCCATTGTACAATTACCCCTATGTTAAATGTGTTACTGCTCTTTATATTGTCATAACGTAGATGGATTCAAACTTAAAAACAAACAAAAAAAGAAAACCCACAACCGCAACAAAAGAAAAACCCCAAACACAAAACAAACAAACTGAAGATACTGCTGCTGGTAGGGCTTTTTTTTTTTTTTTTCCATTTTAAGGCAAAACCTGATGGACTTGTGGTGGATTTCTATAGTAGTATTACTTTGAGTTGTTCTCACTGGTTTAACTTTCTATTTATAAGATAGAACCCATAAATCCAGTGCTAATTTTATGATAGTGGTACCAGTGCTTCTGTTGATCTGCACTGAACTTTAAATTATTGATACTGTATTTTCTTATTTTTTATTATACCCAGACATTTTTCACAATTTAAAAAATACAACTTTTTTATTCCAGATCTGTTTTCTCCTATTTGCTGTTCTCTACATAGTGTCCTACTTCATAATCACAAGATACAAAAGAAAAGCAGGTAAGCATGAAGTTGTTAATATCTTCAACGTTTGTTTTATTTTTTGAGTGAATAGGTGATTCCTTTCCTCTCTGCTTCCACAAGAACAGCAGAAGAATCTGCCTGGATCTCTGATGAAATTTGTTTCTCTGACTGCTGTATCATGTCATCCTGTGCTGATCTGTTGGTATATGTTGCTGTCTTACCTTTTGTCTGCTCCCTTTGTCCCCAAGCCATGAGTTCTCCATCCCTTCTGTTGTGCCAGTTCTAGCACTTGGAGCCTTCAGTGTGCATTAAAGGCAACAGATCTTTAAAGAACCAGTTAAAGAAGTAGTTTAAATGCTGTCTCATGGAGCAATTTTGCAATTTCGGATCAAAGTGGAGATTAAAACTCAGTTTGGAGTGAAGGGTGGAAACACATTTAAGTGTCTGTAAAGATCAGTGTGTGCCACTGTGATTGAGTGAAAATATGTGGTTGGGGGGAGGAGGTGACGGTGGCCACAACCTGTTCCATTATGGCACTGTGGCAGCCTGGATTTTAACTGTTTTGAAACAAAAGAAAGGGGAGAATTTCAAGTGGGAAATTCTGCCTCTATTGCCTTCAGATCTTGTTCTCCTTTCACATAATCTTTACTAGAATCAGTGTCTTTTAGTGTCAAAATCAACTTCAGAACTCTAGCTGGTAAATGAAAAGGTTGCCAGTACTACTGAAGGGAAGTAGTAGATTTAGTGCAATGATTTTGCTTTGTTCAGGTGTAGTTGTTTTGGTGTTCTTCCTTAATCTGTTCTTTATGACCTCCTCACTGAATTCTTATTCCTCGAAGTAATAATTTTTTCCCTTACTTTTGAAACGCTGTATGTCTGAAACTAATCTGTAATCTGTAGGGATCCCTGTCATTTTCTTCTATCTCTGCTAGAGGCAAATACCATACAAATATATACAGCAGCAGAATGTTTGACTTTCGATGGCTTATTTGGGACTTAATGCACAATCAATCATGCTGGAAAAACATTTGATTGCTACAAGATGTTGATGCTTCAAATTTGGGTAGAAACTGATTGTTGGACCTGTAAGAATAAAGTTTATTTCATAGATGGACTTGTATACAAGATAAAAAGTAAAATATTAAATAAATTTAGTGTTTTTTTTTTTTTTTTTTAAATGATGTATGCTCTTTAAACATAGTGAATAGTTAAACAAGTGAATAAAATGTAATGACTTGTTATCCTGGTATGTGTCCTGGTGTGTTACAAATCTGCTGCTATTTGGAGGTGTGTAGAAGAAAGGGGAGAAAGAATTGTTATGACAAACTGTTGGCTGTAAGGATGCTTTTTCCTTTTTTGGCGGTTGATCTCATCAGCTAGTGAGAAGAAATGCTTGCAGCTGTCATTAGTTTTTGAAAGTTTTGTGACTGTTCACACAGACAAATTTCATTTGCTTGCTGGGCTCTTACTGATAAGTTTGTAGAGTTAGCGCTTCTGGAGGTTTTTTGGAAAAGTTGCTGTTTGTACAACTTTTCTAGCCGAAGTAATTCATAAGAAATCTGCACTTGATCTCTGAAAATGCCGTAAGATTCCCATCAAAACAGCTTCAGATTCTGCTCAAAGAAATGGAAGCAAAACTCCTGTTCTTATGAAATTATTCTAGTACAGAAGTACTTGTGTTGGTGACTACACATTTAGTTTGAGTGTCCATGACTTAAGCTTGAAACATCAGGTTTGTTTCTTCTTAAGTTGAAAAATAATTTTTGAGTAACCTCATGGAAAACCTCAGACTTTAAAGGAAAAAACTCACTCTAAGATGGTATCGAATGCATAAATAACACCAGAGGTACAGAAAAGGTTATAAAGAACTGAAGAAGGGTTTAAGTGATTGACCTTTTTTTATTTAAAAAAAATTGGAATGTGCAACAACAGATTTTCCTTTGCTGGCTACAATTAATTTTTTTATTTTTCAGATGAGCAAGAGGATGAAGATGCCATAGTTAACAGAATATCGTATGTATAGCTCTCTTTTTAAGACTTTTTTACCTGAATATATGATAGGAATTGTGTATGCTTCCAAATCAAGTAAAAATCTATTTGAAATATGATGACAAATAAATGGTGCTTTCA